AGTTAACATAAATGGAATTTGCAACTCATTTAAATTACTTTGTTAAATGAATGCATACAATTTACTATGCCTCTCCTATTCCATTTCAGGCTGAGGAAGTGCCTGGAGATTTCACTCAGTCTGATTTGGCCACTGATGATGTCATGCTTCTGGATACCTGGGAACAGGTTAGCATTTGAAGTAATAATGACCTAAAGGCAACATGAAATGATGTTTGCAACACACTTTACATCCTTAATCTAATAAACTTCTGAGTGAAACAGGATTTTAGAGCAGAAAATTATGATGAGAATAGATTTTTATATATAATCATTTGACTGGTTCTTAAAAACTGGGCATTTACATACCAGAATGAAGCCCAGAACGAAGTTCAGTTATAGACCTTTGTCAGGGTAGCACATTTCACAGGAATGAAAACGAGGCTGTGAGGGATAGAAATACAGTACGTTCAGTGGATTGTACTGTTGTTTAACAACATACCGATTGTTGACGTGCTGACAAAGCTGCTTTCTAAAATAAAAACTGCCAATAGATAAAAATTACATTAAACAGTTTTGAAAGTCGTGAAAATTATTTGATCGATGTCCATCCATCACAGCCTTGTTATCATTCCTGTCGAAAGTTAAATATAAATGTAACCTGATTTAGGTCTAATGTTGATCTTTAAATGTTTAATTCAGCTTCTTAAATCTTCTTTCTTTAGGTCTTTGTTTGGATTGGTAATGACGCCAACGAGGTAGAGCGGAATGGAGCAGATAAAATAGGTAAGTTAAGATGCTGAAGTAGCCAACTTTAAAAATGTTATTTATACTGTTACATTTATACAGTTAATGTACCAAAAAGCAGTCCATGCGTACCAATAATGGAGGATTACGTTTGAATTAAAATTGAATTTGTCATTAAATGTAATTGCTGATGATTAATGTGCATGTTTCTTTGCTGTTAGCCAAAGATTATGTGGATTCTGACCCCTCTGGTCGCCGTGGCACCCCGGTCATCACTATAAAGCAAGGCTTTGAGCCCCCAACTTTCACTGGCTGGTTCCAGGCTTGGGACGCGAAGATGTGGGACAAAGACCCACTGGATCGCATCCGTGCTCGTTTCTAAAAGCACACGCATTCAGAAACACAAAGCATTATATACTTTTGAATAGCTTCCAGAATACTCACCTCTTGTGTTTCATGCATTGATGGTCTGAAAGGGATGCAGATGGGAACACAGGATGCAATAATGCTGCATGTTAAGCCACTATGTACTGTATTTTGCAACTTTTAATGACTTTTTGCCTTGTTATTCCTATGCCTTTACTTTGCCTTTTTATACAATTAAACTCTTTTATATTTTCTTTTTATATACTTCTGTATTCCAGCGATGTTTTCACCTACATGGTCTTTATGATTTTTTTTTAATGAATATTAAAAGAAATGGAAAATGTCGTTTTGTTTTTTTTTCAACATTTGTCTGTATTTGACAACTTAGTGCCAATGAATTGTTAAAGACTACATGTGTATGGATAATGCCTCATAAATTAGCAAATTCAAATATCTGAACATATATTGTAGTTGCTAAAAAAGATTTTAATATCTCTACAATTATTCTTCTTATTATACGATTTCCCGTATATAATATTAATAATAATAATAAAAACTACTAAAATACTACTGAGTTATGTGTTTGTTGATGTGGCGTTGGTATAATTTTTTTAAATACTTTTATAATTCAGCATAATAATAATTCAGCATGCATTAAATAGATAAAAAGTCGTAGTAAACTTTTACATCATTAAAAATATATATATATTTCATATTTTGTGCTGTGAATGCTGTTCTTTAACTTCTTATTCATCAAAGAATCCTGGAAAAAAAAAAAGATCATGTTTTGACAAAACTATCAATCTCCACAACTGTTTTCAGCTGTGATAATAATAGAAATGTTACTTAATCGCCAAATCAGCACATCAGAGTGATTTTTCACAAAATTACTGTATTTTTTGATGGCATAATAAACTTTGAAAAGAAAAACAACCTTTTGAATGATATGTATACGATGTTGTGTTTTATCAGATATTTCTTTTAGATCACAGTGGTGTATAGACCTTGTGTCCCAGCAGTCGTAATGTTACATATTGCCCACCACATGTCTAGACTGTAGTGACACGTGCATCATTCTGCTGAGTCTTTATGCTTTGGATTAGCAAGTGTTTTACAGTAGCTCATCTCTCAAGCTTTATCTTCTTTCCAGTTCTCCTTAGTCTTCATTTACTTCTTGTTCTTCGTCTCACCGTATCATCAGAGAAAGCAGCCATGAATCAGAAGGTTGTACTGATCACTGGTTGTTCTTCTGGCATTGGATTGGCACTTGCTGTTCGTCTTGCCAAAGATGAGAAGAAGAGGTTTATGGGTAAGGCCCATAAGTAATCTATAGTTGTATAATGGTGGGGTAAACCAAGTACTGCTGTAAAATGTTTGCTTTTTGTTGTACTGTAAAAATAGAATAAACAGATTTTTTTTTCTTAAAAAGATGCTATTTTCTGTTTATCAACAAAATGTCAAAATCCTAGATAGATTCCTATTTTCCACAATTATTGGTTGAAGACAATAAGTTATTTTGTTACCCCATGCTACAGTGCCCTGGGACAGTTGAGACACTAATTAGTATGCTAAATTAGATAGGTCTACATTTAAGTGAAACACACTGACACATTTTATACTCTGACTGTACATTGTCCCATCATCAGTGCTGTCAACACAGGCATGTCCCAAAATGGTTTATTTGAAAAGGACAAATGCGAATGTGCACATGGATGATGACAGAAGGGAATGTGAAAGAAGGGAAATATTCAGTGTTGCTGGACGCTGACTGCAACTGCACTACTTTTACTAAAAATGCATTTTAAAATCTTTTTTCATTTGTATCTTGTGTATCACCTAAATAAATCAACTTTGCTTGTAGATTTGCTCAAAGTAAGTAGCTGAATAGCTTTAATCCATTAGTCATTAAAGCTGCAGTCCGTAAATTTTGCCTCTTTGTCGCCATCTCTGTTTCGAAACCTGCAATTGCAGCTGTGTGCGGAATTATCTTCCTTGCCTGGGTTGTGCGCTGGCATGGCTCCAGCTCGGATAAATCTAATATTCTGAAGAGTATGCGTGGCAGTCAGTCACCGCACCGGTGTGGATATTTACTGTTCTTCGCAATCACAGATTCTAGCCTACGTCTTTGAATATAATGACTCAAATAAGAATTTTCACCAGATATTGTCATCTGAACAAGTAAGTAACAAGTCTGCCACTTTTGTTTTGACCAACTG